TAAGATAAGAAATAAGTCAAATGAAAAACTAATGAAAATGACTTTATCAACACTCAAATATCTCAAATTTAACACAAGTATGCTAATTAAGTTGATTTAACTAGTAGCAAAACATGTTTTATAAATTGATGCAGATTAGGCTTATTGACGCAATCTAATATCCAAATTTGAAATGCAAATCAAACAACGTCCAAATGACACCAAATTTAATATTTGATGTTACTAGACCCAAAAATCTTAGAATATCAATTTTGAAATGATTTCAATGTGGTTTGATTTAATCTCCTTTGTATTAGTGTTTTTGTGGCAAAACTAAACCTTTAGCTTTAAGATCTTTTTTTTTTTTATTTAGTTTAGTGATTTGTAGGGAAAGTAATGAAACCAACAAGAACACCTTTTTTTTTGTAATAGCTGATGTTGTAAGCAAATGAAGTGGAAGATCAAAAAACAACCCAAGAAAGCTGAAATTCAAGTTTGGATAAAGTCCAAACCTAGAGATAAACTGTACAGCTGTCCTAAGAACTAAAGATATTGGAAAAGAACTTGAACTCGTTGTTATGGCAAAGCAAGAAATTAAAGTATGAAAAAAACACCACAAGGTTAGTTATACTTTATTAAGTTAGCTGTTTATCTTTGTCATAGTAAAGAACATGATTATATCTGAATTATTCAATAATAAGAGACTATCAAACTCTAATAGCCATGAAAAACATATGTAATCCTTCTAAATAACCCTAATGGATATTTATCGGGTTTCAAATCAAAAAGCCTAAATTATTAAGGTTGTTCCTACCACACAATGACATAATCCGTGAAATCATATATAACAAACTTAATATTTTTACTCTTTAAATAGTTATAACAATTAAATATAAGCCTCGTCTTCTTCTCCCACACTAAATATGTATCAAGATAAAAAAAAATTAAATGAAGAAATTTTCATTTTAATGCTACCCAAACTCCTATGTTCCCCTATCATACTACCCAAAATTACCCGAGTCATCTCATTAGATGAATTTCCCATCTTTCCTCATTCCCTCATGCTTATGGTTTCTAGACTTCCCAAAGTGATTTTCTTGACTTAAAGATTCATTACCATAATTTTCATCATCCATATCCGCAAAATTATTGTTAAAAATGAGACTAACAAAACTTTTACACCTCCTAACATTGTTTCGACTTTCATCACCCCTATTTTCCAAACTATTAATTATAGCAGCTCATCTTTTTCATCTTCCATCTTATCCTTTAATTTATTTTTTTTAACATGGTCATCCTTTCCATTTGTTGTGTTAAGGCTTAAATTTAAAGAGCATGAGTTTCCATTAGTGGTGTAGTTGGTGTTGCCCGATATCTTTAAATATGCAAAATATGTTTTGATAAAAATATTATTTCCTAACTTACTCCCTCATGTATTTATACTCTTCTCATGTTTTATATAATTAGACTTTTTACTCTGATATGCTCACTATGTATTTTTCCTTTTGGCTCATCTTTTAGCCCTTTTAAAAATGAAATTAAATGACGACCAACTAGAATAACTTAGTAGTGCAATTTAAATATGTGTGATGACTAAAAAACCAAGAAATACATTAAAACAAATAAAAACAAACTACGATTATGATTTCATGAGTGACAAACGAATTATATGAAAGGTATAACCTAATTTTCAAAGTCAAGCTCTGAAACCAACTAATGCAAACTTTTAGGACAACAATATTAAAACTCACAACGAAGTAAATAAACAACCCAAGAAAACTGAAATTTAGGTTTGGATAAAGTCTTTCACCTAAAGATAACCTATACCTAATTAAGAACTAAAGATTTTGGAAAAGAACTTGAACTCGTTGTTTATAGCAAAGCAAGAGAAAAAGAATGCAAAGACACCACAAGATTACTTATACCTTATTAATTAGTTGTTTATCTTTATCCCAGCAAAAAACATAACTTTACCAAGAAATATATGAATTATTTAATAATAAGAGACTATCAAAATCTAACAACCATGCAAAACATACATTATCCTTCTAAATAATCCTAATGGATATTTGTTGGGTTTCAAAATCAATGGGCCCAAACTAACAATCATTTAAGACAAGCTTGATGCCTAAAGCAGTTCTAAAATATTAATTTTGAGTCAAAACAAACCCAAACTAGCATAAAATCCTAATCTAAAATTAAAAGCCCTAAAAATACTTAACTAAGAACAATAATAGTCCAAACAAATGATCTAACCATTACAATAATTAATTGAGCTTCCGAGAACATCTTTCCTTGCTTAAGAAAATCCTTGTAGTCGAAACCACTTCCTAATAGAAATTAGAAAGTGTTATCACTCTTTGTATCTTTCTCAAGCGTGGAAATTCATGATTTTAATTGATGATACTCATATCTTATTTGTTGCCTTTGAGCCTTTCACATTTAGAAATAAATAAGGGTGACTTAATCTCCTTAAATAGCTTTCTATAAGAATCCTTGTAGACAAGGAAAACCTAGCAAAATAAGAAAAAACAATACCAAGGAATCTCTCCCTCTTATAATTGCCTTCTACATGGCTTAAACATACCTCTTGTGCTGCCATTAATTAACCAATCTGGGGCTAATCTATTTAGGCCAAAACCACCTCCACTGGAATAAAGTTCACACACATGGTAAAACCACGACTATCCGAATTTTCATGGATGAAACTAAGGTTGACCATATCAAGATAATATGATGATTTCAAGTTTATGAATCACTTACATAGTTTCTTAGTAGATGTTAACATATACACGAGTAATCTCTCTATATAGAATCTTAATGCAAACCATTTTAATGCATTTGATACTTAACAAGTATCTATATCTTAGGTTTAGTTTATTTTTTGAAGTAAACAATTTATCATAATCATAAAAATATAGTTTAATAAAAGGAAATATTGTTTTGATGATTATGTCATGGATGCTTTAAGAAAATATAAGAAAAATACAACAAAACATTTTAAAAACTATTTTTTAATGTAATCATACAACACTAAAAAAACCTTATCTTGAAAATAAAACAAATGAAATTTAAAAAAAAAAAGACAAATCATTAAGGGACACATGAAAAAAGATTTTGATAATTTTATAAAAACAACACTAATAAAAACTAAATATAAATTGAATATCTAATAAAATGATATTTTAATATGTTTTAAAGTTATTTATTTTTTTGAAGTTTGATTTAAAAAAAATGATGGGTTCAATAAACAGAAGTCATATTTGGGCTTGAGTTATATAAGGCATTTGCTTTAATAAAAAAATAAAAATAAAGAGTCACACATAGGGCCTACCAGACACTAAAAGATTTCACAGTTTTACCGACGGAAATATTCCGTCGATGTATGATTAGAAGTTCGTCGGTGATTTTTTTACCGACGTCATCACCGATGGATTACGTCCATCGGGTTACCTTTCATCAGTGATTCAATATTTCATCGTTATATCAGTCAGAAAAACAAAAAAACCATTTGGCGATGGTTTTACAGACGGAATTTACGCGCAAAAAAAAAATTCCCACTTGAATATACCGACGAATTTGTATTCCGTCGGTGATATCATGATTTACCGACGGACACTAATCGTTGGTAGGGTTGTCGGTGGGTGTATGAAATACCGACCGAATACATCCGTCTGTAAATTCGTTAGTAAATGTGGCAGCTACTGTCAAATTTCGACGGAGTTTGTCCGTCGGTAAGTGTATGAAATACCGACCGAAATACCGACCGAATATATCTGTCTGTAAATTAGTCGGTAAGTGTGGCAGCCACTGTTAAATGCTAACGGAGTAATTTCGTTGGCAATGCTGTCGGTGAGTGTATGAAATCATTAGTAATTGTTTTTTTTCTAAATTTGTTTTTGAAAAATTATTTAGGATATATAATATAAAAAAGTAATCATCATATGCAATTCAATAAACACAATAACTTATATAATAACTTACAAAATAAAATGATTAAATAAACATACCACGAAATGTTGAGCACGGTTATCAAAGAACTGTTGCACCCCCTTCTAGCCATCTTGACTCCGCACGTGTGTCTCCACAAATAGCTCCATCAGGCTCGACCCACGTCCAAGAGACGCAGTTTGTCTTTTTGAATCCGTCGGTGATTCCGTCTAAAAAAATAACCCGCCAAAACCTCCACGTTAGTGACCCGTTTTTTTTTTTACGACGATGACGTTTTTGTCCATAATTCAGTCCTGTAACTACCAACGAAAAATTTTCGTCGGTGATTACCGACCGAATTACGAATGGAATATAACCGTTGGTAATTTCAACCTCAAATTACCGATAGAATTATTCCGTTAGTAAATCCGTTGCTATTTAGCGAATTTCTGGTAGTGAGAACAAGGTTTTTGTTAAAAATAGAAGTTGTTATTTGTCTTTATTTATTTTTATTTTAAAAAAAAAAGATAAAGGCAAACTATATATATACTACCAACTAGTTTATGACCATACAAGAGATAGTTGAAAAATTGAGCTAATACAAAAATTGAACTGGGGTTTTTTGGACTTAAATTTTTTCATGTTTAATTTTTACATTAAAATACATAATAATAATCCTTATATATTATTTTAATAAATCAATCTTATAACTCAAAGTACCCTAAAATCTATTTTAAAATATATTAAAATCTTAGAAAAAATCATTTCTTCAACCTAATCTATTTTTCCTAATAAGATAAAAATGAAAAAAATAACTTAATTAAATTTTTTTCAAAACGATTAATAATAAAAATAACTTTTTTCATGGCTGAAATATAGTCAAGAATGACTTTATCTTGCTTTTATCATTTTACAATGACTTTCTCACACTTTTGGTATTAAAAAAAGAAAATAAAATAGAAGGATAGCTAGACTATTTATATAAACAGTGTACGGTAAAGCAGCTGGTTTTTACCCTGTTTTATTTAATTCCTAAACGATAAGCCACCATCCATGCTACACTTAAAGCTCAAGGGGACTTCTCGAGATTCATTTCATGCATTTCTTCGAGTGTAAGAACTCTATAAAAGACTCATTCTCACATCATTGGTTTGACCACAATTAATCCTACTCTCAACACACACAGAAAAATGTTAATGGCAAAGCTAGCCGTCCCTCTTCTAAGTCTTTTCTTCTTCCTATCTTTTACCTCTTCTCAGGCAGCTCTTCCCCTCCAAGCACCGATTCAGAAGGACCGCTCAACTAGCCAATATGTCATCACTGCATACCTACAAACCCCTCTCAAGCTCACCAAATTGCTCTTGGACCTTGGCGCTACATTCACCTGGGTAAATTGCGACGACTACACTTCCTCGACTTACCAACATGTCCCCTGTAACAGTTCCATCGCTAGTTTACTTGGCGCTTATACTTGCTTGGACCTTTGCGACGGTCCGCCAAGTCCAAATTGTGGTAACAACTCTTTCCTCTTCCTCCCTGATAACCCCATCAAACCTGTTGACTACAGAAAAGTTAATGGCCTCAACACTGCCCTTATTGACTCCTTCGCCTTGCCCAACACTCAAGGTTCTCTTACTTTGATCAACAACTTCATCTTTTCTTGTGCTCGAACTGGTTTTCTCAAAGGCCTGGCTAAAGGTGTCACTGGCTTAGCGGCCTTGGGGGACTCAAATATATCTATCCCGATACAGATCAATAAAGTCTTCTCTTCTTCTCCGAATTGTTTTGCCATCTGCTTGTCAGGATCCAAATCTCAACCTGGCGTGGCTCTTTTTGGTAGCAATGGGCCTTATAATTTTTTGCCAGGGATTGACCTCTCAAAATCACTTCTTTACACTCCTCTCATTTTGAACCCGCTTGGAAAAGATTCTGAACTAGATAAACCCATACCCTCTTCTGAATATTATATAGGGTTGACTTCCATGAAAGTGAACGGAAAGATGGTGGCTTTGAACAGATCACTATTGGCCATTAATGGTAAGACTGGTTCTGGGGGGACCAAGATCAGCACTGTTGTGCCATACACGAAGTTACAGAGTTCTATTTACAAGGCTTTAATTTTGGCTTTTTTGAAGGAAGCAGCTTCATCTGCTTTCAATCTTACTACAACAAAGCCTGTTAAGCCATTCAGTGTCTGCTACCTTGCGAGTGCTGTTAAGAACACACAAATGGGACCCGCTGTACCAATAATAGATCTTGTGTTGGATAGACCAAATGTGGTTTGGAAGATTTTTGGATCGAATTCTATGGTGAGGATTACGAAGAAAAGAGTTGACCTTTGGTGCCTGGGTTTTATGGATGCTGGGGTCAATACAAAGGTATCAAATTGGATTGGAGGTCCATCTATAGTGATTGGAGGCTATCAATTGGAGGATAACATGCTAAAATTCGATCTACAGTCAAAGAAATTGGGATTCAGCTCATCAATTTTGTCAGTAGGGACAAATTGTGCCAAATTCAAATTTTCCACCAAATGATTGTAAACTGATGATGTGTAAATAACATCATGTTCGTTATGCGTTCTTGGATATTCTACCTTCTGTAATTTAATCATCCGAAGAAAGGCCAATCCAGCTATGCAATAAAAGTTTCTGCTCTCAAATAAACTAATAAAAGGATGTTTCTCAGCTAGAAGTGTGTCTATATATATAGCTCAATTTCACTGTGTTTGTGATGCATTGGTCATTCACCATTCTTTTCTTTTCTTAATATTAAAAAAATTATAGGTAATGATAGTATTTAAAAAAAATGGATTCTAAATTATTAATTTAATGAGTTCAATAAGTTATTTTAATTCAATAATATGACTATAAAAAAGCCAAAGACAATAAAAAAAAACAGTGATTGATAAAAAAATTATTTGATATTATAAAAAGATATTCTCTAAATATTCTATAAAGATCTCAATGATCTTATTTGATAACAAAAAATAAAAAAATAAAAAATAATTGATAATCTTATAAAAAATTAAAGTTTAATTATCAACAGATAAAATGATGAAGAAAGAACTAAAAGAAATAAAAAAAATAAAAAATAAATACCTAAGGTGAGTTAGTGTGTTAAATCTAAGGCCTAGTCATGCAAGTGGGGTAACCTGGTACAAAAAAAAATTAAATAAATCACTGGACATCAACTCTTAAGTAAACTAAGTAATAAAAGAAAAAACTGAAGAAAAAAACATCGAAAAAACTCAAGTCAACTTAGGTTAACTCGACTAACGTGTGACTTGGGACATAAAGTCAAGATAATCTCATAGAAATGAAAGCGAAAAAAATCGTTAAGCTCAAGGTCCAATAACACAATGTCAAATAATAAAATTAAAAATAAAATTAATTAAAAAATCAAAATCAAATTGAGCTGATCTCAAAAACTGGTGACCTAGGTTATGAAAATCATATTACTTTATAAAAAATAAACAAGAACAAATTACAAAACAAAATTCTCAATCATTAAAACATCAAGAGATGAAATTGAAAAAAAAAACAATCAAGAAAAAGATTTAAAAAAATAACAATAAAAATAAAAAAAACCAAATCTAAAATAAAAAAAAAATAAAATAATTTAACGAGGAATAAAATTTAAAAAAATGAAGAAAAGGATTTGAAACCAAAAAAAAAATGTTAAAAAAATAAGAACCGAATTGGATAATATAATTAAATCAAATCAAATATTGATGGATAAAATTAAAATAAAAAATTCAACTTAAAAAAATTAAAATAAAATAAATAATAATTAAAAAAATAAAAAATAAAATTGATACAAATATAAATTAACAAGATACTTAATTTTTGAAAGAGCATATTTGAAACTCGAAACAATAAAAAGAAAAAAGAGAAAGGAGAAAGAAAAAAATCTACCATAACTCAACTAATATACCAAAAAATAATTTTAAAACTCTTTTATTAAGGTAATGTTAAATCAATAAGAAACCTCACACATTACTGAAAGAATACAATATCTTTCACTTACTAGCATATATATTGAACGTATTAATTATTTTTATTTTTTAAATAATATTTTATATTTACTTAAATACAAAATACTAAACTATAACTAAAAAATCAGGACAAACAAAAAAAAAAAAATCCCCCTTGCAGAACCGGTAAAATGTCAAGATTTGCTTGCACCAGCACGACAACGCGTACTTCCGCACATGCAATTCAGGGACAATACTAGCTAAGCAAGTTGATATAATCCATAGTTAGCATAGTTGGACTTCTATGAGCTCTAGCTCGTTGACTTCAATAAAATCAACAAGCACTCCTTGAACATATTCAAAGAAAATATTTAGTTTATCTTTTTTCCCCGGGTGCTACGAAGGATAAGAAAGCCCTCACATGATCATGAACCCAACCCCATCTCTCATTAACATATATATATATATATATATGGCGACCAAGGATATCTAGGGAAACGATCAGCAACTTGCCCACATATTTTTTGGGCTAGGTGGGACAGGTAATTGGTCATCAACAGTGTTTGATTCATGCCAAAAGTGTTTGTGAATGTGGTAATTAATTTTTAATATTAATATAGTAAGATAATCTAAAAATATTTTAAAAATTAAATTTTAATAAAAAGTAAAATTTTAATTTTTCAAAAAAAATACTATTTTAAAATAATTGTTATTCGGAATCTAAATTTTTTGAAATTTCTACTTTCCCAAATCAAATCAAATAGTGGAAGGAGAGTAGCTTAATCTGAGAAGTCCCAATTTTTCCAAGCGTTAATAATCTAAATTTAATACCATGAGAATTGTATTCTCATTATTGACCGTCACAACTTATACCAAATATTTCTTAAAATTAATAAACATATTAATTCAAATATATATATATATATATTCCCTCAACTTAAATTATTATTCTGATCTCGAAATTTAAAAGGACAGCAAGCAAATTTCTGCTAAAAAAACATATTATTTTTTATCATGGATCTAATTTGTTTTATCATATGAAATTTATTAATTTTATATGTTACATTATCTTTTATAAAAATTAGACTTAAGAGATCTTTTTTAATAGTACATTATTTTATTATTTAAGAAAAAAATCTTTCATTGGCAAACCTAGTTAAATATCTATCAGGATTTTATTATGTAACTATGATAATAAATAAATAAATAAATAATATTAAAATAATTAAAATATCTTAATAAATATATTTTTAGTAATTATCTCAACTTAAAAATTTAAATTAAATGATATTATTAATACTCATAAATATTATTAAAACTCATAACCATTTCATTAAAATCCTCGTATTATATTTAAAAACATCTTAATTTTTAGATAATGCCAAAAATATTTTATAACACAAGAAAAGAATAAAATACAAAAAATGATAGATTCCTAGAAATTCTATATGCTATAAAGTGAACACTGAATTTCTCAATCACTTTTTTCAAGAAAAAAATGAATTTAAAAAAAATAAAATCTTAATTTTAAAATATGTGGATCAAGACTTAATTAATTTGATGTTAAAATCAAATCAAGTTCAAGAAAAAAAAATTAATGTGACTTGACTGATTTAAATAGTTGACCCGACAACTTAATTGACCTGACAAGATATAATTAAAAACTTAATTAGAATTTATTAATTTTTTTATTAAAAAAATATTGTTTTAATTTTAAAAAAATTAATTTAAATAATCTAGTACATAACCCAATCAAAATTCAAAACAGATCTTGAACTGACTAGCTACCAAACCATGTCTAAAATCTATGGTCTGGAGTATTAAAAAGTAACATCTAGGTCAAACTATATATAAAAAAAAAAAAATCAAAAGAAAACACTTGGATATACCCACAGGGATTTTCTAAGCTGGCAGACCTTGCTGTTCTTATGAACGAGGAGGACACGTAAGCAAAGTCAATTATACCGATCCATTTCCAACGCCTTATCCTAAGATCAAACCCTCTAATCTTCTTCGTCTTCCAGTAGTAACCCGTTGAACTCCACGCGTAATCCAACCCTTGCGACGATAATACATTGGCTGAAGATGGAGCTTGCTGCTCTTTTAGATGAGTTAAATCCACTTCATCTATCGCCCATGGGTTTCAGTAAAAGAGAGATGAGATTATTTTTTTTTTTTTGGGTCAAAAGTTATGGCATTATTATATTGTAAAAAATACTAAAATGTGTGCAAAATTATATTTTAAAAAAATTATAAAAATGTCTGGAGTTTTTAATATGGCAATCCACGGGGTGGAGAAATTGCGCTAAAAGTTTAAAATTTATCCTATGATAACTGCGTACATAAAATAGGATAATTTTTTAAAAATAAAAACTTTTAAATATTTTGAATCAGCTCCACTATTAAATATAATATATATTCCACATTCATAATTTTCCCTTCTATGAAAGGTTCTTTTTCTTTCATTTTTAATCTTAAGATGCATTGTCTAATTATTCATGCCTTCATATTTTTTTTTTAATGAAATTTTGATAGAATTTTCTTTAAACAAGAAATTTACCCAAATTCTCATTCCATCTTATAATACCTATAATAACATCAGAGTTCACTTTCTCAAATTCACAAGTAACTTACAAGTCATTATGCCTAATAATTTATTTGGGATTTTAAGATTTCTAAAATACTCAACTAATTACATAAAATATTCTTTTTATTATATACAATCCACGCCCACAACTCATTTAGTGTAATTATCTACATTAAATTTACTTGTAAAATTATACAATAAATTTATCAAATTGTACCTAAATAAGATAAAATAAAATAAAATCGTGATTTTCTTCGAATTGCGATACCAAATACCTGTAACCATGTATAATTCTTAATATTATCAACTAATCAATTTTATAATTGGTTACTAGTATTTTTGAAAACGCATGAATGAACTTACATTATCAATAATTTTTTGATCACTTTTATCTAAATTATACATCCAACTTATTTTATTTATATTCTCCCTATTAAATATCTCTTTTTTAGTATTGTAATTCTCCTAGCATTCTTAATATTTAGATCCTTTAACATTTTTAAAAGTCAATACACAACATTCATGATATCATTTAAGGTTGTTTATGAAATAACTACTTTCTCTCTCTCTCTCTTTTTTTTCTTAATTTGAAAAGTATCAATATTTTTTAACTCATTAAGATTTTACTAAAATTTCAATAAAGTTTTTTTTTTATCTTGAACATTTCTAATATCAACATTAAATCAAAATACAATTAAATATATTTTTTATCCATAAAACCACACAAGAATCATTCCTCTACTTCCAACCCAATCATCCGAGATCATATCTCATTATATCTAGTATTTCCTTATTTATTCTCAATATCAACAACCATACTCATATTTATATTTATTAGTTTCACATTAACCATGATACTAAAACATCAAGACATATGAAATTGAATCCTATAATAAACTATTATTTATTTTATAATTTAATTAATTCTATTATTCATATACAACATACCATAACATACATGATATAAATTTTGAATCTTTAGATTTACAAAGATCCATAATATCATACATCATCACATCACCAAAAA